GTTATGGACATATTCAAAACGCCGGAGAGGTGATTGTAAAAGTCAAAAGCATTCAGTAGGTCAAAATCTCCCATTAAATTACAAGCCACAGAATTCCATGTTTGTCTTTATCATCTATTGGGAAGAAACGAGTCCAAATTTCTGGCTGAATCTTAAAAACAACTGCAGAATTGTTGCAGGACCAATGGTCCTGTAAGATGCTTCTCGGGAAATATTATGACCGCAGAGGACTGAGAGAAACAGGACAAAATTAACTCCAAATTATCTTCCAACTTTCTGATTCTGCATATCGGCAGGTTTTTTTGGCCCTAGTTGCTGAGCTGGTAACCTACCTTACAGGGTTAGCGCAAAGAAGCGCAAACTGTAGCCGAGAGATTTGGCAAATTTGCAAAAATTTAAAACCATGTCCCTCTTCTCATTATTCTTTTTATTTGTTAAAAAATACAGGTTTTTTTTCATGAAAAACACTTGATGGATGTTAACATCAAACGGATTTAATACAGTAATTTTCCATGATTCAATAAATAAACATTCCAGAATGCGTCAGTTTTCGTTTTTAATATGGTAAATATCGATAAATATAACCCATACAAACAGGAGCTCTTTTGGGGTCCTCCGTAATTTTTAAAAGTGGGAAGGGGTCCTGAGAGCAAATTCTGAGAGAATTTTCCATGGCAATACTGTGGAATTCGTTCCCTTTTAAATGTAGTTGATGTCCAACCTGGTGAGTTCTCAATGGCAGCTGACTTTTTGGAAATAATTCTTATTTTAAAATAAAAAATAACATAAATATCATTTTAAAATTAAAAAAAATAAAATAAATTTTATTACTTTTTATACAGAGAGAAAAGAACAATTATTATTTTATAATAATAGTGGTTAAAATGAAGAAAAAAAGATCTACATAATATCAATATAAACTACCTCAATCCCTTAATATATTATTAAAGCTAGGCCACTTAGAAATATACAGTGTTGTTCCATCTTCAACTTTTTAGAGTACAAAGACATTTCCAAAATAGATGAAGAACTTATCACTTGAATTCACTCTTCATTCCTCAGAGGTCAAATTCCACATTTTTGGAGTATAACTCAGCATCACATTTATATCTTCAACTATTCTGTTTTTTCCCCAAATTGCATTCATGTATTTATTAATTTGGGATCCAAAAATAGCAATGAAGGGAGCTGACTTAAGTTCCAGGTTATATCTATTAATCTAGATTTTGGGTTAAATTTATACTGCTCTGCCTTACTCATTATCTAGTCCTATAATGGACTTTTTTATGGATTTAAGTAAGTTTTCTTTAAGAGAGGTTGGGCTGAACGCTCTTATTACCTGAAGTTGCTAACTGTTTTGTAAATACTCTGATTTTTTTTTATCGCTTCTCGCTTTAAGATGCTTTTTAAATTAGAAACATGGGATGAAAAGATGGGCAAGTACTTACTGAGGAGTAAACATCGCCCCACAAAGAGAAGCTGGCTTATTGACAGCTATCCTGGATAGGTTACCAGAAGGAAAAAAAAAATAAAGCCATTGAAAGCCAAGCTGCCTTACGTGTACTCCACGATGTGATCCAGCAGGGCGACAATTGGGGGACCCTCGGAGGGCGCGTGTTCGTACACCAACCCACAGGAGCCATCTTCAGCTACAATGAACTGCAAGGAAACACAGGGGCAGTGAGAGAGGGCATAGACACCCAAACCAGGAATCTTGGTTTGTTGGCTCTGTTGCTGCAATAGACTAGGGGGCATCTGGGGGAGAAAGAAAAACAAACATTCTTCCTGGACAATCACATTCAAGCAGCTGTTATAGAAGGAATCCCATCTGGGATTCCAGAGATAACAAACAGCCATCGGGAATACCAGCCATCGATAGCTGTAACTTTCCACAAATCTGTCCAGCACCCTGTTAAAACCACCCAAATCAGTGCCCACCCCTACATCTGGAGGCACCCTGTCACCCAGTTTAACCCTCTGTGCTCAGAATCATTCCTCTTCTTGCTCCTGAAAATCCTCCTTTTTTGCTTTGATGGCTGACCCCCTTCTAATCTAACGAGCAGGAATGGGCTGGGTGCTTTAGATCCAAAACCAAAAAGGGGCTTTGGGGGTGGGGGGCACAGAAAAGCACCCTGTCAGAGATTTTGAGGAGACTGGGAAAGCGAAGGAAGAAAAAGTAGATAGAAACAGTCCAGAGATAGAAGATGAGTCCATTTGCAACTTATCTCGTAAATGGCAACTCGGCCCAGGTGGCCAGAAAGCTGGGAAGAAGCATTTCTAATCAAGGAGACTCCTTAATGAACTCACTATAAACAAAGATGAGAAATGCTTCTGCATTTACCCCCAGGGCTATATAATGGCATGTGGGAAAGACTTTGGGAGAAGGGGCGAAGAAATGCTGCCAAGGGAACAGTCAGATAAGAGAGGGCGTAGCCCTCAGCTGGATAGTGGATGGGGCAAGAGGTTCAGGAGGGATCCTCCCTAGTTTCTCAGGCTGTAAAGGAGATGGGGGGAGGACTGTACTTTCAGACTTGCAAGATTCTGTCAACGTAGCTTTACAATAAAGTAGAATTAGCTCATCTGATCATGATTCCTGTCTGGTCTACCTGGGAAGGCTGACAGGCTAGCATTAAGGACACCCCACTGAAGTCTGTATAATTCTTGCTTCCTTGAATTGGGTGAGGCTTGATAGACACCCCACCTGTCAACCCAACCTTTAAAAAGCTGGGTCTTTCCCTGGAATAGGTGCGCCATTCGAGGAACATTTGCATTTGAGGTCAGGAAACCCCAATGGCACGTCTGTGTCTGCCGTGAAACGTCTCTGAGATGGACCCCAAGGTCTGGGAGAGGTGGGGGCAGGTCTAACCCTCCTGAATCACCTGGAGGGTTTTGTCAAACCAGCGGTTTCCGCTGTTCCAACGGCTTCCTGCACCGTGCAACATCTGGGCGGCCACTCGACTCCTATAGACGTCATCCGAGACCCGGGGCATCGGGGCGTCCAAACAGACGGTGAAGATGCTCTTTTCAATGGTGCGCACAGACTCCTTGTTCGTCTTATCTAGAAAGGAAGGAAACACAACATCAGCCAGCAAGAAACCAACCCATCAATTGATCAGTCACGAGCGACCAACTGCCCAGCTATACCCCCAGATACCCAGGGAAGCATTGAATATACCAAACCATAATTGATTGACTTATTAATCAAATTTATATGGCCGCCCATCTCACGAAAAGCGACTCTAGGCGGCGTACAACAATCAGAGAAAAACAGCACGTATATCAAACCACCATTATAAAAATATAGAAATCCGCATCAAAGATGAAATAGTATTAAAAACAAAATGCGGAAACCCCAGGCAAAGAGAGAGCATATATTAGAAATATATACAAGCTTCTTTGCGATAAGATTTCCAACTCAGGCGCAATTCCCAAAAGAAAAGGGTGATCCACAGGTGGGTTGATTCGGAACAGCGTACACCTTTTTATAATAAAGAAATAAAATTACAAGGGGGGGGATCATGCGCAGAACTCTTATGCCCAAAATTGCCACAATCCTGTTGCAGGATCCTGACCGGGGTGGAAAGAGCCAAGGCTGAAGTCCACCCAGCATCTCTGGGTGATTTGCGATCAAGCAACAGGACAGTTGCTCTGGGGATGAAATTTTAAGAGGATGTGCTTGTCCTGTGATCAACCCACATTTTTCAATTAACACCCGGAAGGGAGGCTGTTTAGACAACCTAGCTCTTCCAAGTTGCTCTTGCAAGCAGTGAGATAACCAACTTTTTAACCCCAATCAGATCATGATTCCCCTTTTGTCGTAACAGTGCCTGCTAGATGCTTCATCTTCACAGGTAGCCTTCCCTTGCTGATGCCTAAACTAAGGTGGCACGGCTCTAAAACTTGCCCAACGGAAGCAACCCAGATTGAGGAAGGACCCTGGTGCTGTAAATAATTAATGGGACAATTGAAATAAACCATGATGCGGTTTGTTTCGGTCCTGGCACCTCCTTTCCCGTCCCCCGGCTTGGGATCCATCCCGCAAATTCTTGATGAGCTGGCAACCCAAGAATTTCCAAAAACCGGGGTCCCCGGGAGGAGGGACCCTGATAAATAACAATGGGAAGCTTCTGATCAAAAAATGGAGGCTGGCCAAGGGTTTCTCTAGAGAGTGCAGCACGGAAGGGCCCTGGGGAAATCCAGATGTTCAACATCGCTGCCCCAAAGGCCCGATCTTGGCAACGGAGCCACGGATGGGGACCGATGCTGAGTCTCCCCCCGGTATTGACCTTTGATGAGGTTGTTGTAGGCTTTGGCCCAACTGTTCCGATGGTTGCTGGTCAAAATTCCGATCGGCTCCTTGTTGGTTTGAAGGGACGTGTTCCAGATCTTCTCCAGCTGGATGAAGATCTGATCGGTGGTCAGGGGGCTTCCGTCGCTGCTGTAAACGTCCAGCTGAAAGAACTGGAAAGAAGCGAGAGCGAGGGATCTAGTGGCGGATGTGCTGCGGATTTTTCTTCGTTCCTAAGGAGGCGGGGGAGAAACTCTACCAAAATATAATCACCCACCTCCCCAAGCCTTTGAATTCCCCCCTTTGTATTATACAGCTACCGCTAGGCTGGTGCTGTTTGGAAAGTATGATCAGGCTAGGATTCTGGAGAACTTTCCTAAGAAGGAAGTGACATAAACCAGGGTGAAATAATAATAATAATAATAATGATAATAATAATGATAATAATGATAATAATAATAAGATGATGATGACGACGCCTTTTCTGTTATTTCTATATATCCTAGGTAATTTATATATATCCTAGGCTGAGCATACTGTCTGCCTGTCTGTCTATATAGAGAGACAGAATCCTAGACTGACGCTATATATAGATAGACAGACAGACAGACAGAATCCTAGATTCTCCACAATTCTCCAGAACCCTAGACTGAGCATACTGTCTGTCTGTCTGTGTATGTTATGTATGTATGTACACACACACACACATACACACACACACTTTGCTCAACTCAAAGCTCTTCCTTTGGAGGAGTATTTTCAGGCACCACGTACGGCCTCGATGGTGCCTATAGATCCCACTCGTTTGTCTCCACCTTTTCTTTTAAGTATGTATGTATGTATGTATGTATGTATGCATGCATGCATGTATGTATGTATGTATTTATTTATTTATTTATTTGATTTCTCCCCCGCCCATCTCCCCCCAATGGGGGAATCTCTCCCCATTCTGCATAAAATTAAGTTGGGGATGGATTGAGTACAGGAGGAACCGCTAACCTCTCCCAAACTGGCCCGTGATTGCATCACCAGGAGATTCAACATTACCTGGGCTGACGCCAGCATATGGGGGTGTATGGAAGATGCAGGGTCCCCCCAATAGGCACCATCTCTTCCTTTCTTAGTTTTAAACATTTTTTAATCGGCGCACAGTGGCTGGACCGGTATACAGAGATGCTCACTGTATTAATTTTGCTTTAAAATAAGGGAGGATCCAAAGGGGGCTTCTGCTCACGAGACTCCCCAGAAGAGAGCAAAGACAGGGATGCTCAGCTTGGGGGCTGCGCAGGGCCCTTCCCGGCAGCCCTGGAGAAGCCCCAGAGCATCCCTTTTCTGCTCCTCAGTTTTGTTTCGTTCAGATGTTTTCAACTTAAATTTTTCCAACCATACTGCCCCACCCCAAACTCTCTCTCTTCCCAAATGCCACCACGTTCTCATGGTATCAACGGGGAGCTCGGGAGGCCAGAAGTGCAAGGGGAAAAAGGGGAGTCCTAGCTACAAAGCAGTTGCTTATGCTGAGACTGAAGGTGTAGCCATTAGGGCCACTTGCCTACCTGGAAATTGTGGACCACGGTGATGTGGGTGGGAGATTTCTTCCCCTTCGCATAGTTCACCACCGAGTCTCGTTTGGGACCCGGGATGCGGCAGGAGGAGAGGATCTGGTAATACTGGTTCATGCAAAGAGGTTTCCCACCGAGATATTCCACAGGTAGAGTTTCACTGGAGAAAGCAGGGGAGAGAGAGACTGGTACAAAACTGGGTGTCTCGTGGGACACGGCTGGCGATCGTGGTGGGAGAGCTGCAGCCAAGCAAATCTGGAATTTGCAAACTGCTGTTGAAAACTGCTTGGGGCACCTATGCAGGTTCACCTGCTGGGGTAAAAGGCTGCAAGAGGGACCAACAGGCTTTCTTTTGACTCAAGGTGAAACCTGGCTCATTATCAGGTATAACGGTCTGTGGGAACAACCTTGAAAGAGAGGAGGAAGAGCCGCAGACAGGACAACCGGCACAGAAAAGGTGTCTCAGCCCACAGAAGGAAAAGGGGCATGGGAAGCATTTCAGAAGGGACCCTCCCTAGTTTTCCAGAGAGTAAAAGGAGAAGGAGGGAGAAGGACTCTATAATAGTCCGTGGGAATGACCTTGGGAGATGGGAGGGAGAGCCGCAGACAGGACAACCGGCACAGAAAAGGTGTCTCAGCCCACAGAAGGAAAAGGGGCATGGGAAGCATTTCAGAAGGGACCCTCCCTAGTTTTCCAGAGAGTAAAAGGAGAAGGAGGGAGAAAGAGTCTATAATAGTTCGTGGGAATGACCTTGGGAGATGGGAGGGAGAGCCGCAG